TTCATAGAGTGGTAGCTAATAGCAAAACAGGTGGTTGGTGGCAAAGCAAGTAGTCGATGGTGCAGTAAACAGCAAGGCCAAGAACCTGAGAAGGTGCATGAGGAAGATATGTCTAATACTGCATCCAAGGATTAGGTATTTGTTGGCACAACAGTGCTGTGTAATAAACAGCTATATAGCTTCAGCGGCATAACAACAGATGTCCCTTGCTCACACATCTGCAGTCAGGTAGGTGTCAGTTAAGGGGCTCTGCTGGTCTTGGCTGGGATCATTCAGATAACTGGGTGTTGAATGGCTGTCAGCCAATCTAGACAGAATTCAGCCAGGGTGACCAGTGTAACTGGGCCCTGCTCCCTGTGTGTCTCACCCTCCTGCAGGCTAGGCCAGGTATGCAGGTGCTTATGGCAACAGAAACTCAAAAGTAGAATGTTTGGAAAAAGCTAGATGTTTGGAAGTGCTTATGGCCCAGAATCAGAGTGAGTGGTACTTCACAGAAGCATAAAAAAGACCATGAGGGCAGGGAGGAGTAAGGAATTAGGACCATTTTTACAGTCTGTTGTATGAAAGATAAATAAAACAAGAACAGCCAATTCATTGTTCTAATAGGTATTATAATCATTTTGCAGGGGAAAGAACTCGAGATTTTTACCTAGTTTTAGTTGTAAACTAGGCTCTTATGGAGTATGTGGGTCACCACTTTATTAAATATAGTTGCTAAACAATATATTAGTTATATCAGTTTCAGGTGTACAATATAGTGATTAGATTTTTAATAACTTACGATGTGATCACCCCACTAATTCTAGTAATCATCTGTCACCATGTAAACTTACCACAGTTTTGACTCTATCGCCCTTTGTTACCGAACAAGAGGTCCGAGGGAGAGGCAATACAATATTTGGCCCACCTAGGGATGCCCAAAACTGCTATACAACAGGGCCCCTCCCCCCAAAAAAAACAAAATACTAAAATCTACTGGGCCCTTCTGTCCGCTGCCAATTAGAAACACATCTTTCAATGCCAGAGATTTGTGAAAAGGAAACAAAATGTTTATTTAATGCTATTCAGGCCTAACGCCTCCATTAAAATATCAAAGTCCTTTAGGGTATATACCTACACCCACACAGCGCTCCCTTCTCCCACTGTCCCAACTCTGGGTACCGTAAATCAGGAAAAGAGCACACGTCTGTGTTGCAGGCCGCTGGCACCGTCAGCTGTGTCACTGTGCAGGATCTCGAGTTAATCCAAAGTACTGTGGTACCCTCTCATGGTCCACTGGCAAGAGTCCTTTGTACCCAGTTCCAGTCAAAGTCTCTCTTGCTTTTCCAGGCCCCGCGGCCAAAGGGGGCACCCCAAAGCCGCGTGGGCCTCTTCTACCAAAGCTGCAGGAGTCCGCACTCCACCAAAAGCATGTGGCTTTCTTCTTCACCTGGCTGCAGGGATCTCCATTCTGGCAAAGCTGCGTGGTTTTTCCCTTTCACCTCACCAAGAGGGGGTCCTCACTCTGCTGAAACCGTGTGGCTCTCTCCCAATGGCTGCTGTGTCTGGCTTTTAAATCCTCGCCCCATCTTCCTCTGTACCCCTATTTCCGACTCCTCCCAAGATCAGTTACACCTGCCAGTACTTCTGTATTAATACAAGTTTACTGGGCTCCCATCGTTAGTCTGGGCAGGTATCATCCCATGTCCTCGAGCCAATCTTCTCCAAGCCCCTACACAGGCGCTGTAACTTGGGGGACCTGCCCCCAGTTACATCTTGGGGGGAAGTGACTTCATCCCCCTAGCTCCAAGCCTGGCCACAGCCATTTAACACATCCAAGTGACCGCCAAAGGCTATAGATATGTTAAAAGACAATGCCATGGATTAGCTGCAAGGCTGTGGCTGTACAAAACTGTCCCTTCCCCCCAACTCACACCTGTGGGGGGGAGGTGAGGACATCTTACATGTCTCTCCATTATTCCTATACACTTTGAATTCTGGACAGCATTCCAAATCTTTTTTTGGGGGCCCCCCCTGGCTGCACCCTGTATCACCTTCACCTTTTTCACCCATCTCCCTACTGCCTTCACCTCTGGCAACCATCCTTTTGGCCTCTCTCCATGTGGGTCATCTTTCTTATGCAAATAGGGGCAATTGAGTGATAGAGTTGGTTGTTGTCACCACCCCCACCCCCTGCCCCCTGCCATGGACCCTTAACAGTTATGTTAGTTGTTTGTAGAGCCAGTTAAATGGCAATAGATTTTGGCTCAGGGCAGTCCAAATTTAGCCCAGAGAAAGCCAACTTTGGCTTGATTAACTCATCGGTTCAGGCCTTCTTCTGTACCCAGTGCTAAGTTCCAAAGATGAAGAAATCCATTTTAATTCCATTCCTGTAAAATAACTGCTAAATAAACAAGCCAGTTAGTTTCTTTGGCTAACGCTATAGGATTAACAATGTCCAAACCCTATAAAATCTACATTCCTTTTCATAACTGTCACAATAAAATGGTGACCTCACTGAACCAATCAGAAGTCCCAGGTTCTAGACCAACTTCTATTACTAACTGGCTTTGGGACTTGTGGGCAAGTTAGTTAATCTCTTTGAACCTGTTTCCATTTTATATAAAATCAGGGATTGCTATATATTACAATATTTCAAATGTCCCATTTTTACTGGGTGTTAGTAGCCACTATTTATTCAATTAAGAAATACTGGCTTAAATAAAGTTCAAAACGCTTATTTAAAGACTTATCAGCACTTTTCTGCTTTGCTTTTTGAATCTCGAAGACAGGAATATAATGTGCAGCAAATTTCACCACTGAGTTGGTTTTTCATGGAACATGTCATGTGTCCCACTGAATATACTTTTGGGAAATGTAATTTCTAGCACCTGCATGGGTGAATGTATCAGTCAGAGTCCCAAAAAGAAATGGATGGCAACTTGAAATGGGCGCATTTAAATAAAAGAATATGATAAAGTGACAATTTACAAGGGTATAGGCAGGATTTGGGGAAATCAACAAGGGGTAACAACTACATTGGGACGTATGACAAAGGGAGGGGCCTGACGTGAGAGAGGGTAACCTGGAGCAACTGCCCGGGCAGGGATTCTTGGTAGGATGGCCTTCGGCAGACAGACGCAGCCCACCTATGGTGACCTGGCAGGGAGGCAGAGAAAATGAACACAATTTCATTTTCTTTTCAACCTCCAGTTTCCTGCGGTGCTTCTCATCTGTTGAAACCAGCCCAAAGCCACAGGGCAAGGGAGCCTACCTCACAGAACAGAGGAGTGGAGGCTGGACCCGGATAGGCAGGCAGAAGCTATTCCGCACAGTGGGGCTCCATCCACAAGCAGCTGGATTATGTGATTAAACAATGTCCTCAGGACTCAGTCTCTCCACCCTGCTGTCCTCTGCCAGCTTCATCCTAGCGCAGGCTCTTGCCACCTGCAGCACAGATACCAGCAGGAGCTCTAAGGTTGTCTTATTTACAATTCCAAATAAAACAATAAAGTGTGTGTATGTGTATATATATATGTGTGTATACACACACAGTCCAGGAAAGACGTCCAGCAAATGTTAATATAACAAGAATGCTTTGCATGACATTGATGTAACCTGGCAGCCAAGGAGTGGACTGGAATGTTCATGTGTGAACAATGACTTCACTGTACTAGTTAGCGGGGGTGGTAGATACTGTTGAGTGAGCATGTGTACTGTGTGACCATTGCATTCAAAATGACGGAGCAATGAATCTGCATCAAATTTTGCATTAGGCTCGAACATTCCTCTGTGGAAGCTATTTAGATGATTCAGAAGGCCGCAGCTATGGGCAACTGGTGATTGGCAGCTTCATCACAACACACCTGCTCACATATCATGTGTTTTTTGGTGAAGCATCAAAATACCCAAGGTGATCCAGCCTCCCTAACAGCCCAGATTTGGTGCTCTGTGACTTCTGGCTTTTTCCAAAACTAAAATCACCTTTGAAAGGGAAGAGATTTCAGACTGTTGATGAGAGTCCAGAAAATACAATGGGGCAGCTGATGGTGACTGGGAGAGAGAACTGTGTGAGGTCCCAAGGTGCCCATTTTAAAGGGGACTGAGGGGTCATTGCTCTATGTACAATGTTTCTTGTACCCTGTATTTTCTTCAATAAATGTCTCTATTTCTCATAGTACATGGCTGGACACCTGCTGGACAGACCTCATCTACAGCACTTCCTGTATGTCCAGTGCGGCTGAAAGCCATTTTAGATACACTACCTCAGTTAATCCTCACAACTGTCCTATTAGGCAGCTATGTATTACCCTATCTTCAGAGATGAAGAAACTGACGTATCACTGGTAAGAAAAATGCTGATACTTAGATTCAGCTAGTCTAGCTCTGGAGAGCCTATACTTTTAACGCTGCACCATAGTGCTTCTTGAAAAATACACCCTATTTCCCACGGCATCCACATCACTTATCAAAAAGAATGTCGGGTCATGTGCTCATCACTGAATCAATCACTGGGCACTCTGCTTGCCACACTGAGCCATATGTCCACTCCTGACAGGCCCCCATGACTGCTGGCAATTTCTCCCTAAAAAAAAGATGCCAGACAGATGTACAAAGGAACGAATGCCCATCACAGGCAGTGTAGACTTACGGAAATAGCCCTAAGGACTGGAGCTACAATTCCAGTTCTGCCTATGTTTGCCATTAACCTTCACAAATTACCTATCACTTCATTGCCAGCACAGAGACTCTGATTTCATCTACCATAGTGAGTATAGGTGGAGAGATATACAGATCTCTTAACAAATACCTAAATGTACCTAATTACCCAGATATATATAACACATTATTAAAATTATAGTGAAACTGAGATATGCCAAACTTGAGCAAATAATGTTTGAAGCTAATTTTTTAACATTATTTCTGAAAATTCCCTTAGAAATACCTTCCTTTAAAACAATGAGATTAAATAAATGAGGTCTTATTTTTAAAAGTGGTCTTGCAGACATTACACATAAATATTTAAGAATAAACAAGCACAATTATAAGTTTATTGATTTTAGCAAAATAAAATGACATAACCAACCGGCTTCTTGAAAACTAATGAGCAATTTTTCTCGTTTCCTTGTCTCCAGAGCATTTGGCATTCTTTATCAACTGGTACATGAAAGAGTAGAAAAATAAAAGGTTGTCATATTGTCCTTTGTATTTCTCTTTTAATATGTCAGTATGGTAGTCTACCAGAAAGTAGTAGATGGCTTCGATCGTGGAAAGGAAGGTCTCTGGCTTTCCTTTCTGATGGCGCCAAAAGCAAGTTTTTCTTGTTTTCAACTCAACTTGTAACAACCCTGCCACAAACAAATATGAAAAATATAAATATTTCTTAACCATGGGGTACGATACAATTATTACAATCATATAATATGAATAAACTTTGGAGACAAAATGATGAGTTTAGAACAAAAACCCCAAGAACACAAGAGATAGGTCAAAATAAAGCAACATAAAGTAACATAAAGTTTATGAAAACAAATGAATATATGAAAATTTAATCTAAAAAGGCAAAATGATAAGCATCACTCAGGAGAATAGCTGACTCTGCTGTGGGGAGGACAGCGGCTCAGGGGAGGGGCACACAGTTCCAAGTTATTAATACAATGTCGGTGTGCCGTTCTTAACCAGTCATCCTATCCTAATGTGCTATGACTCAATGTCACATACATGTTCTCTCATATGGGTCACAATTTAGTTAAGAAAGAAACATTAAAAAACCCACCTTTGCCTATTTAACAGCAGAACCAGGGCTGGGAGTCAGGTCCCAGCCCTGTTCTCCCATTAGACTTAAAATACAAACTAATCGTGTCCATGTGAGGTGTTACATGCTTGGATAATGCCACAGCGCCCATGGATAAAAGACCAAATTCCCAGACGTGACGTTCAAAGGCATCCTTAAACTGAATTTCTTTAGTCTGTTTTCCTGCCACTCTCATATGTGTATACATTCAATACCATGTCCAACTTTTTCGGTCTCCTGAATGTAAAGTGTTTGTATATCCTTGTGTGTATCCCCTTCTCTTTGTTGCAAACGACACCCCTCCCCGCTCTCCTTTGTCCATCCAGATTCCAACAGAGACAGGGAATCCTCCCAGGAACCCCAGGAAAAAGGTGGGTAATGCTGTCACTGCCCCCAAAACCTAGTACATTTTACAGTCTGCTTATCTGTCTGCCTTCCATAATAGATTATTTGAGAATGTCCAATGTCTACTCAATACTCACTTTCTCTCTCATTAACAAATCCTGTTCAATGTGTGTCTAGCTAAAAAAAACTATCTCCCGGCATTCTTTAGAGCCAGGGTGGTCATCTGAACCAATTCTGGCCAAAGAAAGGAAAAATGAAATCTCCTAAGTGGAACTTCCAGGAAAGCTTTTTTCTCTTTTTTTAAAAAGGCCAGACTCAGGGGCACACAGATATTGCCCTTTTTGCTCTTTGTCTGGCCTGGATAAAGGCCAGGATGCCTCTTACAAGCATGAGGATGAATATGATGGAGGAAAACAGGGGTCTGAGTTCTTAACTAGAGCACCGTGAAGTGCCCGTACCAGCCCAGCAGTACCCACTTCTGGACTCTTACATCTACAAAGTAAACTCGCTTCTTGCTTGAAGATTCCAGCCAGGTTTCTGTTTCCTGCAGTTGAACGTCACCCTGACTAACAGCCACTGCGGTTGATCACAGGGCACAGGTATTGCCGTACCCTCCTTTACAGCCCTCGGGTCTAGGACCCTGCCTATGCAAGAGCAGGTGTTCAACAAACACTCCCGAATGAATGGACAAATCACAAAAGCCTGTAGAGTATTTTGAAATATTTGGAAAATATTTCAATTTGAATAGTCTTGATTCAAAGAGGCACATAACTTAAAACAATCAAAATCACACTCTTTTTAACTATTTGTGTTAATGTAATTATAACCAAGAAGTAAAGGCAGACTTCGAAGTGTTCTAAGTAACTAGTACAATTAAAATCTTAACATAAGTGAGGAGACCACTCTGTAAAGTGTACGACTGTCTAACCGCTACGCTGCATACCTGAAACTAACACAACATAACACTGAATGGAAACTGTCACTGAAGGATGAAATTAAAAGAAAAAATCTTGACATAGAATTCTGACATCCTCAATGTAATTTGAAAAAACAACAGAGTAACTTATAATAATACCAGTTTCTGTAATACATCTAATATGCTATAAGATGTTAAATATAAAAACCAAGACTCAGTGCCTACCACCACTAATCTATCCCATTTTGAAGATTTTCCTGGAAGCATGTAGAACCTTTTAAAACACACTGAAATACAGACATGGGATTACACAGAAAATTAATATTTATTTTTTAAAGTTTGACATACACATTTAAAAATTCTCTTGCTAGTATTTCTGGCAATCCATAAGTTTAATATAAAATACACACAAAAATTTTAGCAGTAAAAGTTTGAAGGAGGGAACTAATTATAAACGGCTTTTTCCCTCCCAAATCATTGCCTGAATTTCCTCAACCGGAAAACGAGAATGAAAACCATACTGTCGTGAGGACTGAACGAGGTGGCAGATGACAAGCTCTCACTGACACTCCAAGTAAAGCTTAGGAAATGCTTATAATGTGAACAAATCTGTCAAAAGGAAGGGACGCAGCTGGCTAACTTTTAAAACAAATTATGATATGATTTGTTTCGATAATTTGGACTCCCTCCCCAACAAAAAGAAAATCATCTTTCCTGCCATATCCCTCCAATGCTTCCTATGGCGAATCCTCAAGAATGTTATGCATGTCACTCTTCACTAGCAGGTTTACACTGTATGATTAAATTACACATTCAACCTTTAGATGTTTTATTTTGACAGTAGTAAAACATTCAGAGCTATTTTTCTGTGAAGTCTGGCAAAACGGGATGTTTTTACACTGTTAAGGGGAATCTTAACCTCAGCATTCATAGTAAGATAATAGAAACATAATTTTTAATACATTACATTTGAGTGTCTAAACTGAGATTCAGAGTTGCTGAGCTTAGCCCCACCAAACAAAAAAAAATGTTTTAAAAGGCAATGATTTATAACAAACATGGCTGTTTCGTGGGGAAATAAGTTGGCTTATCAGGAACCTGGCACTTCCCATATACCGATATTATAAATGCGCGCAGAGCCCCGGGTTTTCCCTGTGGTGAAAGTGAGACATGCAAAAGACTGACTCTAGAAATCTGTTTAGTTTGTGACTTTTGAAGGAACTGAGAAATCCCTTTTAAAAATGTAATGTAGCACAAGATTGAAATATGTGATACTTTCTATGTGATCTGGAAAAGAACAAAATTCCCTTTGTACAAATCTGATTTTAAGCCTCAAGCACAAATGTGGACACTCTGAAAACAGATTTTGAATTGTACCTCAATAATTCCTTATATAGTTTTTTTGAAGTGTTTTTACTTGTTCTTTCACTGGATCCTTTCAATTACCATATAAAGAAAAATGGCTCAGAAACATCTTCAAACTGGGGAATAATTTTCTGCTCACACCATTCAAGGTAATGCGGCAGGCAGTACTCCAAAGAGCAGGGCTTTAGGGCCCCATTTCTCTGTTGAACATCAGCACCAAGATTCTTCCAGGTCTTATGCTCTGACAGACAGTATCTGTCTGTCTGTCTGTCTCTCTCCCTCTCTTTCTCTCTCACACACAATTTCTTTCACTGTCTCTATTTCTCTGCCTATCTTCCTCACACACACACAGTTGGAATGGCAAAGCAATCTTATTAACACTTATGTTGCTCTCAGAGGTACAAAGTGTATCAATTAAGCTAATTAAATTTGCTATTGCACTCACTGTATGGTACTAATGAACACAAGTCAGACTCCAAAGAGTGTTATAAATTTCTCTTCTGAATTATATACGCTATTAGCAATAGCTGAGGATGAAACTGTTTTGGCAACTAGGTAGCTCTCTTGCCTTGTAAGTATACATGATACACAAATAAAGCCATCAAAAAGCTGGAAATAAAACTAAAGCTTTAGAAAAACTGAGAAAGCCTGAAAGGCTGAGGAAGAAGGTACAAGGGAGCATGAAAATCAATATGAGCTCTTATTCTTCATGGCATACGAGTGTAGTACTTGGGCCAATAAAGCAAGTCTTTTAAAATACTGTTATTAGGAACTAAGCTTTTCACTCTAAGAGGAAAACAGACATAGACATAAACAAAAGAAAGAAGCTCTCTGTAATGCTGAAGCTGAACTGGGACTATCCATTGTGGTATCTTTTTTGGCTCTACCGAAGCAACGACATCCAAACAGTAATACATTCACCAGACCTTGGTTTCTAGTGCCATTCCCCATGAACAAGAAGAACCACGGCTCCTTTGACTGACTGCTTCTAGGGCTGGGGCAGGAAAAAAGTGCTGTGCCAGAAAGATTAATGAGGCCGTGACAGAAAGGACTTGAAGGGCTCCCCCTGGCAAAGTCTGAGACAATTGGGGCACCTAAAAGAATATAATCATGATGGATTACAACATACTGAGTTAAAAAGACGTCAGACCACAGTGATCTCACATATGGTAGGGGCAGGAGAGGGCAGAAGGGGTGAAAGGAACAGCTCTTCTTTACATAAGAATGGGAGCTAACAAATGTAGAAGAAACAATAAAATTAAAATTTCATCATTTTGTGATTCTCAATACAATTACTGAGAAAAGAGTCATCGGTGAATACTAAAACCATGGGTGAAAAGCAGTTAGACAGTCCACAGTCTCAAAGCATCACCGCCACAGACAGCATTACCCCACTGCGGATCACTACTAATTTCAAAGCAGAAGTAAATCCTTGTAGTGGAGGGATCTGGCAATCAGCTGGAACCAAGTACTGCAAGTCATCACCAACAACGGGACAACCTGCATTACATGCCTCCTGTGAACAGGATAATCACACAATTTGTCAGTAGTCGGCTTCTTCTCTGAGAGTGAGAACAAATGCTTTTAATAATTATACCAAAGCAACAGATATAAACTGCAATTCTCACGGAAAACCCTGGACTTATCCTTATCTGTAAGTATCCTTGAAAAAACATTTGAACTGGATTTAATGATGATGAACGTTCAGACCACTGACCTGTCTGTTTCACATACGTCTAAGTCATGAAAAGCAAAAATGGAACTGTTCTACATTAAAGGAGACAGAAGCAAATGGAATGTGAGTTTACATACTACATCAGAGGAGAAAGAGATATCAGAGATATTCTGAGGCCAATTAGAGAAATGTGAATTTGGATTGTATCTTAGACATTAGAGAACTTTCATTAATCTTCTTAAAGTGATAGTGGTATTACAACCATGCAATTACTCTGGAAAGATGTACACTTAGGTATTTAAGTGTGAAGTGTTGTACTGCCTGCATCTTCCTTTCAAAAGGTTCAACTAGAAAGTATATATCTAAATATGTACACACATATATAATGAAGAAAGAGAAATAAAGCAAACAAGGTAAGATATACAGGTAGTTAGTACCATAAGGGTGTCTGTAAGTTTGAAGTTTTATCAAATAGAAGTTGGAGGAAGGAGCAACACGTAAATATTTTTTTCCTTACCTTGAAGTCTCTCATCGGTGAGTATTTTGTTTGTTTGGTTCCAGGTGCTATCTATAAATATAATTTTTTTCAGTGTTGTCTCTTTGCACTCGCCATCATTCAGATCCTGTTCTTCAGTTTTCTTGCGTTTAACACATGGCTTGTCAGGGTCATCATTTTTGCCTCTCACATTATTTTGAACCCGTTTTTGCAAATGAAAAGAAATATCTTTTACTGAGACTGACTTAGGTCCAGGAAAAACAAGTGCAACCTAAAACAAGGAAACTTAAGTTAATAGTGTGCAATAATGATCTTCAGAGTGAATAAACTCGGACTTAAAAATTTAACAAGAAAACCATATCAGACACCTAAGAAACAAGCACTAGGTTTCACTACATGTGCTTCCTTAATATGTATGGTAGAGTTCTGGGCCCTTCCTAAATAATTCATAATCATAATATACTACCTAAAAGTTTTACTTCAAAATTAGTTATTTACCTATAGATAGAAGTCAAGTTAATTGTGTCTTGAAACAAAAAGCTAAACATGCATTCTATAAGATCAAAGGAAAGTATGTGATACTTTGTAAAAGAACCATTAAAAAGTACTCAATAATTAAATAGCATTTTCACCTATATAACATACAAAGACCAAACAAATGACACACAGCAGTGCTGGTAAAGAAGTGGTGTAACGGGCCTTTCCAGCGCTGCTCATGGCAGGTTTAAAGGGTACAAACTCCTCCTGAAAGCAGTTTGGCAACTCAAGTCTTGAAATGTTTATACCCTTTGGTCAAATAATTTCACTCGTGGGCATTTACCTTAATAACCCTAAATTCTCATATACTCACTACACTTATAATATCTGTTAAAGTGTATTTATTACAGTGAAAAATTAAAACTGAAAAATCTAACTTTCCAGGAATAATCCTTTAAATTATGGTACTCCCTTTCTCGCAGCATGTTACTGAGATATTACACAGGACAGCCCCCGCTGCCTGAACAGCTCCTGCCACAACGCGGGCCCCTGGCAAGTATCAGTGAAATGAATGAGTGTTGGCAGAATTATGAGTATTTTATCCCTCATATTTTTGGCTATTTCCAAAATTTTCTTTCATGAGCCTCATTTTAATGTGAAAAATAAACATTATAAAAATAAAATTAAAACCCTTGCATTTATAAACTTTAAAGTTATACAAGTTGCTTAAACATTTACAATACATGCCAATCCCCCCCCCCCCGTACTCAATTAGCAAAGTCCAGGATTTCTTAATTTTTTGGACTGCAGGCAGATCACATCTCTTTATAGAACCTAGCACTGTGTTCTGTTTAATTAGCATAAATGATACTTTGCTGACCAGTGAGGCAAATGAAAATATATTCCTAAATCCAAAACTCAGATGTTATTTACAAATACAACTTTCCACATAAATATAATAAAAAACACACTTATAGTAAAGGAAAAATCACATTCTTCCTAGAACAAATCAGCCTATTAATTTTTAACTTTGTTTCTGATTACCCATACCAACAAATGATCCCCAAGAGACCTAAAGGGTTTACGAGCTCCTTTAAGAAGTGCCCAGTGCCTACCTCTTTTTGAGGTCTATTGCAATATTACTTTTCCACCAGGCCAGTAATATCTCACCAATGTGAAATTTCAACTAAGAATCTAGAAATGAGCGTGGAAGACCTCTGAGCAGACCAAAGAAATGTCACAAAGGCCATATACTAAAGCTCTTAATTTAGGGAGACTTCCTGAAAATCCTTTTTAGTTTTTTCTTCTTTTGGAGAAATTCCAATGTCTGTAATCTGGTTCCTCCGTTCACATCAAATTAGACCATCTACTGGGGTGTAGTATAGGCAGGAAAATGAAGAGGGGAGAAAGTAAAAGCAGATATAATATTGGTAAAGTGTAAAACCTTGAAGAAATAATGAAGAAGAAGAATAAAAAGTGGAAACACACGTAAGAGCCTAACAATCTAGGATCTTCTGATCTTTTCAGACACCAATCAAGTGTTATATAACAGGATAACACTAGGTCATCAAGCAAAACATTAAATTGTGTTCAAGTAAGTTTGAAAAGGCACTGGAGTTTTTCAAATTCGTTTTTAGAGTCAATGTGAACAGTTGTAAAAAATAAGCTGCCTACTTCATGGTCCTTTTCTTCATATTCTGGAATGCAAGGGTACGTGTAAATAGTTACATATTCAGGTGCTAGGAGTTTTGCATGTATAGCAGTACTTTTGCCATCTGTTTCATTTGGATGTTTAATGATGTCAATCTTCAGTGGAAGCTAAAATTTACAAAAAGAAAACAAAAAAGCGAAGACAAGTGAACAAAACAAAGCAACAAAAATTATAATTTTTATGTTAATAAAAACAGTCTTTAAAGCTTAAATAGCAAGCTCACACTCCATCCCTATATACAGGGTCCAGCACAAATAACAACCCTTTTTATTACAAAATCATAAACATGTAATTCTGTAACCTAACAATATCACACTCAAACACACCATATGACATTTTAGCTGAAAAGTTCAAATTAAAACTATAAATTATTACACCCATATTATTACCCTACCAACCACACTCAGGCAGGCATTGCTTCCACCGGACCCTGTACTTATGGTCTGAAGTCACACTTTTTCTACAGGATATTAAGAATGATAGGAGCCAAAGCAAACCCAAATTTCTTCCTTGATACTGTTAATCAAGTAATACAATGACTTTTTACACTCATTTAACATAGGATCTGCTCTTAGAGCAAAGCTCCAAAGTCATTTTCATTTAAGTTACATAGCACTTGAGTCCAAATACTTGCTTTTCAGTATCTGTGCCAAGAACATTTTTTATAATTCATATAAACTTCAGATTTGTTCGTTTTATGATACAGAAAAGGAAATAAAAGCTTTGTCAAAGCTCAGATCTAAAGTTCAAGTTAAAATTTTGTTCTTCATACATTCTTTGAATATCAAAGGTTTTATTCTTAGTTGTGAACATCTTCATTCTCAGATGTGTCCTTTAACAGCACAAATGAAATAATTATCAACGGAAAAATCCAGTGAAAGAATAGATCTTGGAGGTGTACTCAATGTGTATAAAAATAACCCTCTTCAAAATCATTTTGCCTATTTCCTTTAAAGCTTAATTACTTATTATGGATTATGTCCTTTCTCTATGCAAAATAATATTATCTTACATTTCCTGAGTTACATTTTAAAGTATTTATAAGCTAAGCAATCAGTTCAAAAAGATTTTTTAAATCTATCTTTAAATTGTTACAGTTTATAACACAGCCCAATGAGTAGGCCTTAGTCTTTTCAGTTTAATTTAGTTGCGCTCTGGTCACTGACAGGTGCTCCACGTTCGTGTACAGGATGGAGGTACGCCCATTCTACAAAAGCCTAAACAAAAATGAACCTACCTACTTCCTCTGGGATATATTTTCTCAACGAGCTGTCCAAGGAGCTGGGGTAGTTTTTGGAAGTCCTTTAGGGAGTCTATAAACTTGTCTCTTGCAGTGTTCATGTTTGCATCCCATTTTTTCTGGGTTGTAACTGAATTACAATCACTAATTTTTTAAAAAGTAATTGATTTCACTAAAAGCCACTCCATTCATCTCAGGCCTAAGTGTGTTGGCAATGTGCATATTTTTCAGAGACAAGAAAAAGAAATGGGTTTACCAGTCTGTAGGATTACATTTCTATTAATATAATCCATTTTCATAACGATGCTATTTATCAAATTTATCAGTAACAGTACAACAGGCAAATATGAGATGTCTTTTTAAAATCTATTTTCCTACCCTGGCTGGTTTGGCTCAGTGGATCGCTGCCAACCTGCAAATCAAAGGATCACCAGTTCGATTCCCAGTCAGGGCTCATGCCTGGGTTGCAGGCCAGCTCCCCAGTGGGGGCACACGAGAAGCAACCACACACTGATGTTTTTCTCCCTCTTTTTCTCCCTCTCTTTCTCCCTCTCTTTCTCCCTCCCTTCCCTTCTCTAAAAATATACAAATAAAATCTTTAAAAAATTAAATCAAATCTATTTTCCTACACTCAAAGAATTAAATTTCTTACCAACCTTCACCAGTGGCATCTGTTCCATAGGTACATTTTCAACCGGGACATAACATGTATAGCAGTAGAACATTCTTGAACCACCACATTTAAGACACCTTGACCTTCCACTCTGTTGAGCTTTCTGAAGAACTTCCTGAGATGCTAAGCATAAGTTTTGAAGAGGATCTTCTGCAGCTATGGAAGTAGTTTGTGATTGTTCTATTTCCATAAATTTTGAATTATTTTCTTCCTTTTCTTTCAGAAACATAGGTTGATTGAGAGACATTTTCATTCAAACTAAAGTTTAACAACTATTTCTAAAACACATTATCAGAGGGACACTGAAAAAAAATGGGGGGGTAAAATAAAAACATTTTACTCACTGTCTCCACAAAGAAAGAAAATTACTCAATTTAATTCACAATTGTGTGCTGTTTTAACAAAGCTTTAGTAGTAACAAACTTACTTTAACAACTTAACAAATTAACAAAGAAAAAACTTTAACAAAGTTTTAACAAAGCTGTGTGCTTTATTAACAAAGATCAACAAGTTTTTTAAATCACTAAATTAGCATACTTTAAAATTCAGAATGAAAATGCAATACACTCAACATAAATTACCCTTTGGAACCACTCCCCCTATAAAAATAAAAAGGGGCTTTCTTAGAAAAATTATTTCAAATATAAAGTTAAGGTACCAACAACCCATTTTTCAGTAACTTTTTGTTCCAAAGACAGCAATTTTGTTTTATATTAGGCGTGCAGCGGTTTAATGTTCATATCAGCCAGGCCAGGTATATGTACAGGCTCTTTGAATCGCTGTTTCGTGATAACTAATCTCAACCAGAACCCTAATGGAAGTGCAGGCCTCCAATGTAATCAGTAAAATTTAGTTGTTCATATTCTAAAAGATATATTCCTCTCCACCTTAAGTTAAAACACACATAAAATATAACTAAGCATCCATTAAAATGCATGATGCATCTACTACCAATTATAATTCGTAAGATATCCCAAAAGGTGAATATATGCCCTGAAAAATAAAGTGTGATCTTATAAAGTTTCATAGAGTAACATTAATGTGCACTTACTTTAAGGATTCCTAGTGCTTTTTTTTTAAACACCATTTGGATTCTTAGTTCTAGAGATAAAATTGTAAAAATAACTTTCCCACTTAAATATTCCCTTCAAAGAAAGATAACGGCTGCCAGAGCTGTTCTTCAAATAGGCTGTAAGCACAGTATCTTTCAGGTGGAAAAAAGATTGGCCCTTTTGATTTGATAAACATTCCAAAGCGGTAAAATGACTCTCCTACCACAAAGCCTTATGGGAGGCGGTGTTTAACTCCGAGGCTCCAGGCACCTGGGGTACAAAGCTGACGGGAGAAACACTGAGGGCAACAGGAAACTTTCTGTGCTCTCCTACATTAGAAAAGAACAAAAAGTCCAATGGAACTTAATATACAAGATAACATAGTAACAGTAAGAAGTTCGTGATACTGATTTCATTACTTATCAGGAGTTTTTTATAGATTGTAAATCCCAGGAAGCTTGAGACCCAAAAAAGAAATGCAAAAAAAAAAAAACAATGATGGTCATTAAAGAAAATGTTAAATATGCTTGCCAAATTTGTGCAAGGGGAAAATTAAAATACTGTACAAAAAATACTTCTGATGTGTACTGATTAGGTACAGATTTACATTTTGGGTTTTTCAGAGAAAGTGATATTTTACAATGACAGTACAATCACTTTTCCTGCCTCACAAATCTACTACTTCATCTACTTCTACCACACATACCCTATTTCTAACCCCCACCCCAAATCCCCTACCCAAAATAGCTTCTATCTTTGTGAATATGTTCTCAATGACCAGGACAGTGTCAAATTCTTGAGTATCAGATCCTTTTAAAATCACATGAGAGTTTTGGACCGTATCGGTAGGAAATGCATATACAGACACAATAGTTTGCTCACAATTTCACGTGGTCTGCAGATCTCTCGAGTCCATCTACAGATCCCTGTAAAGAATTCCCGACTAAAATCAGAAATTCATTCTAAGGACAGGAGGCAGTCTTACAAGTCTGGGGGTGATCCTATTAGTCCTCAGATATTGGTGTTGCAAATCTCCTATTGGCCAACAAAAGGTCAACTGTCATAGCAACAGAGGTCTCATCACTGCAGTAGGAAGCTAATTAAGTTTCATCTAAATTCTCTACATTTGGGTTTTTTCTGGTGCTGCCTGAGGTCCTTACAGAGAAACATTTTTAGGCTGTAAGTCTTGCGTTACCTCGATCACGGGGCTCATCCTAAAAAAGAAACTGGATTGGACAAATTTCAACCTGACTCTGTGGCGCTGGGTATTTGATGGAACACTACTGATGCATTTTTCTAGGGCTCTCAAAATGCACTGTTCCTGAGATGTCTCATAAATATCCCCGATACGTGGGCTTCTATCTACATAACTAAGTGAATATTAGTAAAACCTTATATAGATATTTTTCCTCTACAAAATCAAACAACACAAATACCTGTGAGACAGTGAAAGGGACATGTTTATGCCCCTCCCCTGTGTCACCTACATACTCTCACTTATGGCTGATGTGGCCACACAGAATAAGAGGCAGCTACTGCTTAAGATCTCTGAAACCACATGACCGGGGGCATCAGTTCTGACTTAGCCAACAGCCTAGCCTGCCTAAAATGTGTGCAAATCATGTGTAGCAAACGCGATGACTCAAAACCTTAAAAACATACTTGTTAATACCAATTACATGCAGAGAAATACAAGTGGAGTCATGGGAGTTACTCAGAAAACATGAAAAGGCTTTACTTCTAAGGAACTAACTGATATATCCATTATTCTGCAACCTAGGTTGAAACCAAATCCTCCTTCTACCCTTCCCCCCCAAAAAAACTAATTACTCACCAGATTGCACCAATTCTACCTTGCCCATAATCCTTTACTTTTAGTCTAAAGGCCAGACTTTAGATGGTCTATAGCAATCTCTTAAATTTCTTTACCTCTGTGCATTTATCATCACTTCCACATACTTAACATGGAAAAATGTACCTTAACTTGAAGTCACCTTTGAGTGAAGCTATGGATCCTGGCGGACAGTCCACCCGGAAGAGCAGAGTTTTTACTCATCTCACCTATCCCTGCGTCTAATGCAGCAGGAGGAAGTCAAGAAATACTTAACTAAATCAAAACCATTCTGAAAAAGGAGCATACAGTATACATCATGCTACTGAAGTATCTGACAAACTGATTTTACTGGCCCACTGCAGACTGGCATAGAAAGCAGCCTGGAAGACCTTTTTTGCAAATCAATACTAATGGAAGAGGCTCCTAGCTACAAACAGGTAAGTGAACTCACCTCCTAACAACACTGTATGAGACACCCCTATCCTGGACTGTAGGTTTTAATGAAACCCACTTCAAATGTTTCTTTCCTGGAGTATTTTTAAGAACCTGGTCCCATACTGTATACAGACCCCACATCCATTTAAAAAAAAATCCAAGGTATCACCTTTTTCATACAGGACCCATGGCCTTTCCCAGACCACCCACTATTCAGTAGGCACTGTCCTGCCTTGGTTGTACTCGGTACACTGGGGCTCAGACAAAACTAATCCTTAAATGTGGTTTTAAATAGCGATTTTATCATCCAACTCCATGCATGGACTTGGCACCTTAAAGTGCTAATATATTTCCTTGCTTGACCAACATTTCCCCCAAATAACTTAAGCCGTAAGCAACAGACTTCTTTGCTTATTATGTAACCATCATCTTAATATTTTAAATATTACAATGCATGGCATACTGTGTCTGTGCTAAGCTTCTCCTTCAGTGACAATCCCTCGCAAAACACTCCAAACACTAAAACCACAAAGAACAGGTATGATTCCTAGGGGAACAACTTTGCCAGGACAGGCTTTGAGTCGTTAAGCACCGAAAATAATTGTTAGGGGAAATTTTTTTTGAGGAAAACTCGCGAAGCCTTTTCCCAAAGGGCCCGCAAGATCAAAAAAAAAAAAAAAAAAAAAAAAAAAAAGCAAGCGCCGCGCAGTGACACCCCGGCCACGGAGCATCCACTCCTCGCAGTCGCGCGGTTCCAGCCAAGCCGCCAAGTCCCCAGAGAGGAGCGGACAATGGCACGAGAGACCGAACTGGGACTCAGACCTGCACAGCCCGCGGGTCCTCAATCAGATCCACGCGTCTTCCGCTCCGCCGGACCGCGAGGCGCGCGCCCGGCAAGCTCGCGCGTGAACGTGGCGGAGCGCCTTCCGGGAGACCTCGGAGGGAGGAGCCGGGCGGTTGCTACAGCTGTTGCTAGGGCCCGGCGCCGCGCCTGCTCCGGGCTAAGGTAACCGGGGAGGAGGGAGGGAGGAGGACGGCGGGGAGGGGTGAAACGGGAAGTCCCGCCTCGCCCTCTCCAGTCCCGGGCGGTGTCGCCCGTCTGCTGAGTGAAGGGATCGAGACCGGCGGCGTCCAGGATCCGGGAGGCTGGGCCCCACGCCCCGCCAGCCTTGCGCGGAGGTCCCTTCTGAGACTGGCCGCGACCACAGAAGTGGTACGCGGTCTCGAAATACAGGCTCACGGTGTAGTTGTAGTGAGTAGTGAAGATGCTGACCCTACGGAACGCTTTTCCATTTTACCAATCCCCAGAATAATTCATTGTTGTTTATGGCTCTGTCATGATAAGTACGGTCTTTGTATTTTGACGATTCGGTGTTCTTAAAAACTACACAAGCACCCAGAGTTGGGACTACTTTGTGGACTTTTCCAGTTCAAAATTAAGCATAATATGTGGATAGATTATTAAACAAAAATTTTTTTTACCCCAATCCAAATACAGTGCAAACCGAAGGAGTGCACGATGACAACAGTTGTCGTACAAGGACCAGATCTTGAGTGATGTATTTACTGAGCTCTGTGAATTCAGGAAGTGATAAAGGACAGAACCTTGACTGGGAGGGGATAACCATCAAGTTCGGCATGAGCAATGCACAAAATACATATATATCAGAGTGGACTAGCCAATGAAGACTTATTGGTGGTACTTGAGTAAGGCCGTCAAGAATGATTACAATCTAGAGTAGTGGTTTTCTAGTGGATTGTGTGGGACCTTTGGCAGAGGTCCCATTTGTAAGCAAGGAAATATATTTTGCCAAAACTACAATTTAAAAAAAATGAAATAGTATACTGTGGAAATATCCGTGAGTGGCACTTGGTGAAGTTAAGTATTGCTTTATGGAGTTTTAAACTTTGTATATAATTTGTGTATATACTGTTTATATTTATGTACATACACATACACACACTAGGTCACATTTATAACATTTATTTATTTCTAATTTCTCTTTTAAAAGTTTGAAAGCCACTGCTTTAGGAGGAAGGGTGAATTTTCTGGGTAAAAGAAGTAGCAATGACAAAGTCTCCAAGTTAAGAATAAATAATTCACATCCTTTTCTTTTTTAACTACTTTAGTGCAAGTGCACAGACTACAAGACAAATGATATGATTTATTAATTGCAGTAACTATTGCCATGTAAAAAAATTAGTCCAAAATATGTGAACTAAAAAAAACTATTTTTATAGTCATGAATTGTGTGTTCAATAGGGCACAGAAGGACAGCTTTTTCTAATTACTCAGCTGGAATACCATGGATGCTAGCAGAGCTCCTAGGTGTGGCCTCTCCACGGGGTCTGGGCTTTCTCTCAGCATGGCAGCAGTGTAATGAGATTTCTCAGCTTAGGCCCAGTGCTCCAAAGTCAAATCTTGCAATGGACAAGGCAGAAACTACATGTCCTTTTTTGACCTAGCCTCTAAAGGCTAGGTCTAGTATCCCTTCTCCCAACATTTATTTGTAGGTTTGATGGATTTCATTTATCTAAAATACGAGACGATTTTAAAAAAGATTGTATTTCTTTATTTTTAGATAGAGGGGAAGGGAGGGAGAGAGGGAGAGAAACATCAATGTGCAGTTGCCTCTTATGTGCCCCTACTGGGGACCTGGCCCATAACCCCAGGCGTGTGCCCTGCGTATTTGGTCCACAGGCCAGCACTCAATCCCCTGAACCACACCAGCCAGGGCCAGAAAGATGTTTTTGAGCTCAGAACAAACTCACTAGTGAGTAACATTTTTGAAGTGCCATACTGATTTGTAAGCATTAACCTTTGTTTAGAATGAAAGATAATTAAGGCACCACTTCAGAATAGAACTATGAAAGCCCAAAAGTGAATCACATATGTAATCTTTTAAAAATATACTTTATTGATTATGTTATTACAGTTGTCCCAATTTTCCCCCTTTGCACCACTCTGCCTGGCACCCCCATTCCCTCCAACGATCCCCATTTATTTTATGTCCATGGGGCATGCATATAAGTCCTTTGGCTTCTTCATTTCCTACACTATTCCTAACCTCCCTCTATTTTGTACCTACCATTTATGCTTCTTAATACCTGCCTCTTTACTTCCTTTCTCCCTCCTCCTCCTCCCAGCTGATAACCCTCTAAATGATTTTCGTATCTATGATTCTGTTTCTATTCTGGTTGTTTGCTTAACTTGTTTTTTTAGATTCAGTTGTCAATAGTTGTGAATTTGTTGCCATTTTAATGTTCATAGTTTTTATTTTTTTTAAATAAATCCCTTTAAGATTTCATGGAGTAATGGCTTGGTGATGATGAACTCTTTTAAGTTTACCTTATCTTGGAAGCACTTTTTCTGTCTTTCCATTCTAAATGATAGCTTTGCTGGATAGAGTAAGCTAGGTTATAGGTCCTTGCTTTTCATCACTTTGAATGTAACCGGGTGCTGAGCTGGAAGTCCCCCCAAATGTAGAAAACCCCCATAGCTATCACGTGGGGGATGAGGGAAGCCAGCAGGGCCATTGAGAGCTACTTTGCATATCTGAAGAACTTGGCCACTGTTTTAACAATGTTAAAAGCTGTGGAGCCAGGGACATGGGCATGGCTCTAATCCCTGGATGCAATGTAGCCTGAGGGACTTACTGTGCCTCTGAGAGTGTCTTCAGCATCTTGGGCCACACTTGCCTGGGCTAGCCATGGCGGCCAAGAAAGTCAGAAGAAACCAGACTACTGGCAGGTGTAACCCAGTGTGGGAGGAGTTGGAAATGGGATTATGGAGGAAGATCTCCACCGGGATTTAAATCCAGGTGCAGCAGCCATACTGGGGCTTTTTACCATTTGGTTTGGGAGCAGAGAGAGGGCCTGTCTTGACCACCCAGCTTCTAAAGATGCAGAAAAGCTGGATGTAGCAGCCGTGTGGGCATCTTGACCCTGTAGCTAGGGAAGGAGGAACCTCTTGACCATGTAGCAGTAGTGTGGGGTCTTGGCCATGAAAGAATGGAGGTCTGAAAGAATGCAGAAGGATTCCCTGGCCCACCGGGAGGATATGGTTTTGGATTAAGAGCAGGAGTCTAGTTGAACTACAGACTTCTATTTTCTTTTCCTGAGATACAGTAGCCCTGACTGGCCTGGTTTGACTAGGGGAGGCAGGACCGGGTATGTGTGGTGGTGGTGGGGGGGCATTTTAAAGGGATTTTGGGATTTAACAATGACATTCCACCATTACTCTAAACCTGTATAACTTTTCAATAAATAGTTTCTTTCCTTTTTATCAAAGTCCGGGATTGAGAGCCCCAGTTACTAATTCGCAGCCAGCATAAAGAACCCCAAAGGAGGGGTGTTTTCTGTAACATGAATACTTCTTGCCAGTCCTTTCTTGCCTGCAAAATTTCCTTTCAGAAATCAGCTGATAGTCTTATGGGAACTCCTTTGTAGGTAATGCTCTGCTTTTCTCTTGCTTCTCTTGCTGCTTTTGAGATTCTCTCTTTACCTTTATCTTTGGCATTTTGATTATGATGTGTCTTGGTGTGGTCCTCTTCGGGTCCAACTTGTTTGGGACTGTTCTTCCTGGTCTTGTATGTCTATTTCCTTCACCAAATGGTAAGTTTTCTTTCAGTGTTTTTTTCAAATAAGTTTTCGATTTCCTGATCTTCCTCTTCTCCTTCTGGCATCCCTATGATTCAAATGTTGGTAGGTTTGGAGATGTCCCAGAGGCACTTTATATTATCCTGTTTTTAAAAGTCGTTTCTTCTTGTTATTCTGGTTGAATGCTTATTTCTTCCTTATTTTCCAAATCATTGATTTGATTCTTCCTCTCCACCACCACTGTTGGTTACCTGTAGATTTTTCTTTATTTCACTTAATATAGCCTTCATTTCTTCCTGGGTCTTTTTATTTTGTTGCCATACTAAGTGAGTTCTTTGAGCATCCTGATCACCAGTGTTTTTGAACTTTTCATCTGATAGGTTGCATATCTCCATTTTGTTTAGTTCTTTTTCTAGAGTTTCATTCTCCTCTTTCATTTGGGCCATATTTCATTGTCTCCTCAATTTGGCAGCCTTCCTGTGTTTGTGTATGTGTATTAGGTGGAACTGCTTCAACTCCCTGTCTTAGTAGTATGGCTTATTGTAGAAAAGGCACCTGTAAATTGTGTGGGATAGAACCTCAGGTAATTGCCGTGGCAGGGCAACCTGCTTCACTGCTTTGTGGTTCTGTGTGGCGGGAGGGCTCAGAGCAGCAGACAGTGCCACTGCCTGCTTTCTGGAGGTTTGCCTGGTGCTCACATTGCATGATTGGCACCTGTCTAGCTGTTGCCCTGGTGCTTAATCCAAGTGGGGATGGGTCTGCCTACATTTTAAGTCTAAGCAGGCCCTTTAAGCCAAGTCTTCTGAAAATCCAGCAGTTTCTTCTACCACCCCAACACCCACTAGTTTTTACAGCCAGAAGTTATGGGGATTTATTTTCTTGACAATGGATCCCTGGGCTGTGGGGTGTGTTCTGGGGCTGGGATGGCTCACTCCCAAGGCATCCCTCCTGATTTTTATCCACCACACGGGAATGTGGGACAGCAGATTGTGCCGTCTCACTGCCCATCTCTGCCTCTCCACCCCTCCTACCCATCTGGATGAATGTGGCTTCTTTAAATCCTTGGTTGTGGGACTTCCATACAGCTTGATTTCTGATGGTTCTGGCTGCTATTTGTGTTGAGGTCTGGCAGTTATTCTTTCTGCAGTTGCACGAGGAAGCAAAGCATGTTTACCTACACCTGCATCATGACTGGAAGTTAATATTCTTTAGGTTATGAGTCACAAGGCCTATACAGATTTTAGGAGAGGGGACATAGGTGCTGCATCTCAAAGATTGTCAAAGAATTTGTGGCCATGTATTTTTTTAAACAGACACAGTGAATGCTGTCACAG